CCGCCCGCGGGGACCCGCGCAAGGGGTTCTTGGCAGTGGGCTTGCGAAAACTGTTCGGGTCCAGCCGACCTGTTGCCTCACAGTGGCCAAAAGGGGTAACAAGGAAGCGGGGATTCTGCAGCAGCAGCTTGATTGACCGGGCCCTGCACTGAAAGGTAGGAGGAGGCTACAGGTGGGGGTGAGGCGGGGGTGGGGGTCGGTTGCCTCGACCTTTAGTTGCGTCGTCGTCTCCTTGGTGATTTGGGAGAAATAGGGACGACGGCCAGGAAAAGCAGCCCGGAAAGCTCCCAGCTGAGCTAGGAAAAGGAAAGGCAGACATGGGCAGCTGCTGCTCTGCTCCCCTGTCGTGATTCCACCATGGGCATCCCACAGGGTCAGGCCATCACCAGCACATGGACAAGAGTCCCCTTCAGCTGTCTCCCAGCCCCTGCCCGCTTACTCAGGTCTGGATGATGTCACCTGGAGCCTGGGAAATAAGGGGGAACAGGCCAGAGAAGCCCAGGGAAGGCACAGGGGAGAACAGATCCCCCCGCCCTTCTCCTGCACAGGTCTCAGGCCAGCAGATAGAGAGCTACTGGTTCTCTTCTCACCCAAATCCAAACCCCCAGCTCTGCCTGCTTCTCAGTCCTCAGGTCCCTGGACCTCACTGCAGCTCTCCACAGCCCTTCCCCAAACTGCCTCCTGCCTTGCATTTGGGGACAGGGGATTGGCCTCTGCCTGCTCCTGTTGCAGCCCTTGCACCGCGAGCCACGTCTGAGGCCCTCTTGGAAAGCTTGCAGCCTGGAAGGAGTGGGGGAGATGTTCCTGCCTGTCCCCTCCCCCGGCCTCGCTCCTTGGCCCTGTCAGCCCAGGCTCCCTGCAGGGTCTTCCTCTGCCCTCCCAGGAACACAAGCCCACCCTCTAGCCTTGGACAACCCATAAGCCCACTGAGTGCCCAAGGGATTAGAGAAAGTGGGAGGAGCCCTCTGAGCAGGCAGCAGGGCTCAGACAGGTGGGGAGGGCAGCTGGAGAAGAGGGTTGCGGGAGGAGGAGGCCACAAGAGGAACAAGACCCCTCTCGGTGGCTGGGCAGCTCTGAAGTCTCCCTGTTCTTTCTCTTTCAGGCCTTGGTCTTTGTGGATGGTTGCCGCTTCTTCTCTGGCTTTATCAAGAGTCAGGCTCCTGCTCCCGCAGCTGCCCGGGAGCAGCAGAGTGTAGGGCCTGCCCAGGAGAGGCCCAGAGGTGTGGGGAGGCCCAGGGAGGGATGGGGCCTGGCATAGGAAGGAGGCCCATGTCCCGTGGGCACGGAGATCTGCTAGCAACACTGTGAGGGAGATGGATTCTCCCAGCTAGGGAGCCTAAGGGGGCTCCAGGGAAGGGGCTGAGATGGGTACTTGTCACACTGACAGGAGGGGATGGAGCAGAGTGGGTCGTTGCACTGGAACTTGACTACCTCCTGCAGGCTTCTCTCAGAGCTGTCAGGGAAGGGAGGGAGCACAAAGCTCCCAAGTGACCTAGGGACAGAGGGGCCCGGCCTTAGGGAATCTGGGGCTCTGGCTCTCCTTGAAGAGAGACTGACGGTCACAGGAAATATGGAAGAAATGCAAGCTGGGGAGGGGGACAAGAGGTGGTCCCAGGCCTTGCAGGACAGCCAAGTGCTCCCCACCCTCCCCACCTACCCGAGGTTGTCCAAAGGCTCCTCTGCAGTTGTGTGACACGAGCCTCCCAGTTTGGTGGTGGAGTGTGAGTGATGGTGGCCATGTGCCTCTTGGGGACATGAAGTGACCAAGAAGAGATAAACCTGGGCAGAGGCAGGGCTGAGACCCGTGGTGTAACTCCATCTCTCTGTCCCCAGGCTCAGGCCCCCATCCCCAGGATCACATGGGATAAAACTCATCCCAACTGCTGGGATTGGTCCTGGAGAGAAACTGCGGTCCCCAAACAGCCAGGAGCCGCCCGGGGAGCACCTGGCCCGGTTCCCACCCCTCAGCTCACTGGCAGCGGTAGCTCCAGGCCCAGGCTCTGCTCAGTTCCTGGGACTGAAACCTGCGCCATTCTGGCCCCCCGGGACAACATGGCCCTGTCTCCTACCCTCTCCCCTCCTCAGCTGCCCGTTGGAGCCAAGGTCCTGGATGAAGATCTCGGTCTGCCTCGCCCTAAAAACAAAGGCTGGAAAGCTGCTGCCACTTGACCTCTGAGGTTTCCCACAGCCCAGGCCCCATGGCTTTCTTCCGTGTGCCAGATGTGCGCCAAGCTCCAGGTCCTGTTGGTCTCCCTCATATCCCCACTCCTGTCTCCCCAGGACCCCCCGGTGAACTTTCAGCCTCTGACCGCACCCACGGGTGTTCTCTGGGAGCCACCTGTGAGAGACAGGAGCCTCACGGGGCTGGAGAAGAGGGAAACAGGAACCAGGGCCCTCTAGGGTCTGCTACCCAGAAGTGGCCCTCTTCCTCCCTGGTCCCACTCTCTGAGTGACAGGACCCCCAGCTCTAGCCCCTTCCTGGGCCGGCCTGGAAGGAAAGAGGAAAGCCCTTCGCTGAGCGTATGTGCGCCTTTGAGTGTGCAAGTGTGAGCACGTGGGATAGCGTGTGCCTGTGTCTGCTCGTGAGGGTGGTGGGGGTGGAGCTGATGAGCAGGAGTAGCCACTCCAGGTGCCCACCGGCCCTGTGCCAGGGGCTCGCCTGGGCCTCGGAGGCCCTCCGCACAGGCAGGGATGGGTGTGCCACTTTCAGACCCCACCATCGGGAGACCTGCTGCTGGGGGCCCCACGCAGGCCCAGAGCCCTGGCTTGGCCTGTGGCTGTGTCCAAAGACGTTCGTCAGAGAGGGCAGAGAGCAGGCCTCAGCCTCGTGTTCCTGGCACTGGCCTGGCCACGGTCAGCTGTCAAACTGCTTTCCCGCTTCCCCTCTGGCCCTGCTTTCTCTCCCCCACAGGGCCCTTGCTGCTCGTGCACTTTATTTATTTGCAGTCCGTTCCAGACGGTAGAAATTCTACAACTGCAGACATGACCTGGGTGTCTTTGTGTTTCTCTGTGATGCCTTCAGCACTGGCCAGCACTGCTAGTCAGAAATCTTGTCTTGTTTCTGGTGTTGTCGCATCTTGTCTCCCCAAGTGAAAAAGAAAGTGCTTGAGTTCAGTACACTACAATACTGGCTGGAGGCCTCCTGTTTCTGCTGGGGGTGTGGGCGGAGCCCTGGGGGAAGGGCAGTCACCAGCTCTGGGGCCAGGAGCCAAGCGCGACACCTGCTCAGAAGCCCCATCCAGAAGTCACTTGCAGGTCCACTGCCCTCACCTAAGACGGCAGCGGCAGAGCCCAGCCCAGGACAGGGCAGTCAGTCCTGTTCCCATCCTTGGTCAAACCTGAAGCGAGTCTGTGTGTCCATTTTCGAGCTGGGTGTTCAAAGCGCTTAGTGCAGCGGAACCTGGAGGGTAAAGGGAAGTGAAACTGACTGTCTGCAGGTCACTGTGTGCAGCCCAGAGGCCCAGGTGATAGGCCCTGCTGCTATCCTATGGGCAGGTTGCTGGGGACACTTGGATAGGGCCAGCCACCCACCAGGCCGTGGACCTGGAAGCCCGCTTCCCTGCCCCGATCTTAGACCCAGGCTCTCGCTCCTCCTCCTCAGAGAAGAAGCCGGGCACCACGGGCTGAGGTGAGCTGGGGGTTGGCAAGAGGGCTGAAAGCTGGGGAGGAGGCCGGGGCAGGGCTGGAGGTGGGGCAGGGCAGGTTCGGCACAGCGCTGGGGAGGACAGCTGAGCATGTGGAAGGAAGGCACGCAGGGCCCAGGAGGCAGTGACCTGGGCACACGGGCTTAGGCTCACACTGAAGAGTTAGGCGCCCTGCTTACACTCAGCGGCCTTCTCCAAGGTGCGAGCACTCTGACAGTTAGCACTCTCCCAGGAGCACTGGTCGGGATGCCCTGTGGCATGGGCCTCCACAGGAGGGACACCCCCAGGTTCCTGAGCTTTGCTTCCCTCCTCCACATGAACTTGTCCTGTCCCCGATGCCCCATCTCCAACCGCAGGCATCTACTTGTCCAGCAGAGCAAGAAGGAGAGGCCCAGCCCCGAGCCTGGGGCCCAGCCAGGGTGACGAGAGAAGACCAGCTCAGACGAAGCGGCAGCCTCGCCTGCAGTGGCAAAGGGACACACTGGCCAGCGCCAGAGGGAGACCCTGAGCCCAGCTCTTTCATTTCCTCCCGCGGAGGCCCTGCACGCCACACACAACCCCGTGACACTAGGGAAGGCTTTTTTGGTCCCCGTGTGTCACCAGGCCTCACCTGGAGCAGCCTTGTTCAAGTGGGAGAGAAATGGAATGGGGGAACTCCCCTCCTGTGAGGGTGCGGTGTTGCCACCCACTCCGCTGGGCGGGTTGAGCTGCTCCGCTCCGCAGAACCCCACTCGTGCTGGACCCTTGGTCCGCATCACAGAGGAGCCGAGGGTGGGAGCCCAGTCTGAAATCCATCCCTGAGCAGAAGCCCTTTTATGAACTCCTTCCCCTGGAGGGACGGGATTGGGCAGGAAGAACAGTGCAAGACAAGCAGGAGATGTTCTCGTTCTCTCTCCACACACACACACACACACACACACACACACACACACACACGCGGCGGTGGGGGCACGCTGTACATCTCCATTTTTCTACATTCAAAGCTGCTCAGTGCTCCCGTTTATGAAGGAAGATAACAGCATATGTATTTCCCAAAGTTTCTTGGCTGCTTACTCTTGTTTGTTCATTTGGAGAATCTGAGGTTTTGGTGGCTCGGTTTGGGTTCATCTGTGTTTGATGAATGATGCAATGGCACATGTGGAAAAGTCCTGATCGGTTCCTCCATTTATATTCCTAAAAGTGGGCCGGAGGACAGGCGTGTGTGCCACATCTGATCCCCTCCCTCACTGTGGTGCCAGGGTGCTCTACTCGGTCCCGTCAGGAGTGAGTTTCTGAATCGAGAGTGAGGGTTCTGAGTCACAGTACAGGTTTAAAGTTTTGTTACTGCCTTTCATTGCCTGAAGCTGGGGGCATTTCTCTCACTTGGAGACCAATATCATGTAGAATTTAAATCATCACTTTCCTACAGCTTTTGTCTTCATCCTCCAATTTATCGAGACCACAATCCAGTGTCCTAGGGCAGAAAACTGGATCCTTGCCCTCTCTGCCCCTTTACCTGTACCTAATCAGGGTTATCAAGCTCCCAATTTGTCACCTTACAACCCTTTAAATTGGCCTCTTATTGTGCAGCCATAAGCAGGATGGGATATGTTCCATACCTGCTGACCGATTCTACTTCCCCTTTTAACTATGGGGAGTGCTTTTCTGCCCCAAGGGAAATGAGACGTGCCTGTTAGCACTGAGTGTTGAGAAATGACTTTGGGTCAGGATGTCAGCTTGGACTCACTCTGTACCACCCTGACCCGTTCCATCCCCACCCACTTTTCCAAACACATGGTAACGATGAGTGACGTGTCTTAAAGAGAGTAGCCACTCTTAGCAGGAAAGCATCAGGGCCAGAAGCGGGGGGCATGCAGAGCAGCAAGGGGCACCTGAAGCTGTACAACCCTTGGAGGCCGGGATGGAAAGCGGGTCTGAGACACCAGGAGGGTCAGCGAGCCCAGGCGAGCACTGTTGTGGTAGGGAGCCAGACCCTACCTGGTGTCTCTCCAAGAGAAGTGGCCTGCCCAAGCCATGGGGTAAAACAATCACCTTCAAGTCTCTCAGCCCCCAATCTTCCCTGTGCCCAGTGTGGGTCTACACGCTACGTGACAAAGGACCCAAGTGATGAGTAGAAGTCATTATGTGTGCACACAAAATAGACTGCTAGCCACATTTCTGTGAGGCTGAAGTGCATTCACAGCAAAGTGAGTAACCTCACACCCACTAGCGAGGAAAACCAAGTCACCCCAGAATGAATAGCAACCAGATTGCACCCCAAAATGAATGACAACCAGGTGGACAGCAAACACTGTCCCCATCAATGAGGGACAGAGCACAATGCACCAAAAGGGTTCGGCTGCAGGACACAGAAACCACCAGCCATTTTACACAGAAGTGAAATTCGGCCACAGAGCAGGTGCTAGCTTAATTTTTCAAACACTGGAACCCTGAGATCGAAGCTGGGCCTCCAACAAACCCAGGGTTCCACAACAGAACTGTCCCACCATGTGAGAAAGCACTCGTCCCCCAGTCAAGGTGTAAGGAAATCAGGAACTTCTCGCCAGAGTCTTCAAGACCACAGCCCCGTGGCTGGGGTGCGGGGATCAGAAAGCTGCCGCCACCAGCACAACGGCTGGACACGCATGACGTAGTGACTGGGAGAGGAGCCCGCGGCGGGCAAGCACAAAGGGTGGAACAGCACTGGACGGCAACGGAGCAGAGAGGCAGGAAGGCACTCAGCCTTTCTTATCCCTCCGAAGTCTAACTCAAGAGCCCCTCAGCAGCGGGCTCTAATTTCCATTCAGAACTTCTTACTGCCCGGCAAGCCGGAAATGCAGAATTTCAGTTCTCAGATGGTGCAGGGCCCTAGGACACAGTGAGACACTGAGTGCCAATTCCCCATATGCATCACAGAGCGCTCAGAGAAAATTCCTGTGAGCTGAGATCGTGTGTGCAGATGAGAAATGAACATCTCCTGATACACAGCAGGGCTTAGAGATTTACTATCCATCCGATCTTGCTGAAAGGATGACTAGAGGGTGTGTGAGCAATGACAAGGGCAAGCCCAAGGGAAGACGGGGAAGCTAAGACATAACAGCAGGTGGGCTGGGGATTTAGCTCAGTGCTGCCGCTGCCCGCCTCACAAGGATAAAATCCCGAGTTCATTTCCTGGTAGAGAGAAAAAAAAAAAAAAAAAAAAAAGAAATAAGAGCAAGGAAATATTCATTAAAAGGGACTTAAGCCGAGCGAATCTCCACAGGCAGTGATGGTTCAGGGGAAACATAGAAAGAAAAAGAAGGCTTCCCATTTCATGAGAGCTTTTTGTAGGTGTTTCAGAGAAGCTCAGCTGTCTGGACTGGAATAAGAGGCTGCTGGAGAGGGAACTGGATCACAGGGGCGCTGTAGGCATCAGTAGATTCACCCTCTCATGTTCACCACTGAATGAGCTGGGAGGCGGTGGGGACGCCTGCAGGAGGCCGTTGCTGGGGGTGAGCTTTTGGGGGTCTATCTCTCTGGTGCTCTTCCTCGGCTCTCTGCTTCCTCCCCACCTGGAGCCGACCATACCCTTCACCACCATGTATCTGCCTCGGATACAGCCCGCCTGAAGCCTCTGAAAAATGAGCCAAATTAAACCTCTTCTCCTTCAATTTGCAGCTCCAGACAGTTTGCCCCAGCAATGGGAAGACTGAGCAGTACAGCCTGGTTACTGCTCTGAGCACGCTACATAGACTCATGTAACATTCATGAGGGCTCTGAAACAGATACTCACACATCACTCTTGTGGGCGATGAGGTGACCAAGGCTCAAAAGGTAAAGTAACTTGCCCAAGGTCTCACGTGTGCGGAAGTGTGTGAGACCAGGTAGTCTTATTCGAAGTTCTGGGAGCACAGACCATGGTTGCAGCATGCACTCCTGGTGAGTGTGCACAGCAGATAGGATCCCATGGCAGGAGCACCAGGAAGGGAGGGAAGAAGGGAGGAAGAGATGAAGAGGAGAGGGGGGAGGAGAGAGGTCATAGGTGGAAAAGGCCACGGGAGACCAAAAGTGTCCAGCCTCTAACTCAGGTAAACATCCACTCCCTTGGGGACTACAGCACTCTTTCCTGCAAGACCTGACCCACTCTTGAGACCAACACTCATCGCTTCACCAGAGTGGTCATTACCCAATCACTGCCCTCTGGCCCACAAGTCCTAAAGGTATCACACCTTTCCCTAGCATTCAATTGGGGGCCAAGCTTTCAGCATGTGAGCCACTAGAGGGCTTTCAATACCAGATTCCTGGCAAAGGTCTCCAGAGGAACACTTGAACCCCAAATCTTGGGGTGCATAGTCCCTGTATGTTTATCCATTTATTTCCAGTCTAAGAAAACACGATTCTACCAAGGTTGCTACTTCCCGCTCCCCTGTCCTAGCGCCAGAATGACATCTGTTAAGGTAGAGCAGTGCGGGGCCCGGATGAGCTGAGAGGAGCAAAGACCATGCCTTCCAAATTTTGGCCAAGACTCTGGGAGTTGACATGTGCCTCGGGCAAAAGGCTCAGCTGTGCAGCCCCCCTGGCCCTCCGCTGCCACAGCACACATACTCAGAGGTTCGCTGTGCAAGAAGATGAAGAAAATCTCTCTCTCCCATACTGCGGCAGCCCTGCTGCTGAAGTGACTCCCTCGGTGCAGGGAGGACGTCTAGCAACAGCGGCCGGAACTTCAGCCACACTGGAGAGTTCATGGGAGCTGTGGACTCCATGGCCCACGCCTCTCCTATCCAACCGCAGCCTCCTCTGTGATTCCCACAGGGTGTGGACTCTCACAGGGACTCAGACACGCCACAGCTCCCACCTTGCACTTTCTCTCCTAGGAGCTACTGAGCCATGGGTCATGAACCCCAGGGCACGGAGCAGTAACACAAGCCATGTTCCATTGCGACCTGCAACCCTGTCCTTCTGATTTAACTGCAGCAGCCAGAACAGAGCCCAGCACATGATACTGACTCTCTAAGCCTCTGTGGAGTGCACCCATGAGCGACAGCTCAACCTGTACGAGACATTCCCCTCTACTGTGTTCCACTATTATGAAGGGAGAACTCGCCACTGGGTGGTTGCGAGGTCCCATAGGACCTGTAAAACCAACTCAGAACTGAACTGTTTATGGGATGACCAGGATGTTTTGGTAAATCCCAGACCTGGAGGTGAGCTCGTAGACCCTTCCTGGAGATGCTGAAAGCTTTCAATGGCTCTTCCCCTAGGAGGTTGTAACCTGGGTAAGAGAAAGCACAATTTCATGGAGTGGCTTGTGGGGCTTTGGGACTCTCCGTCCACATCGGGAAACAACTTCCCTCGTAGACCCTTCCTGGAGATGCTGAAAGCTTTCAATGGCTCTTCCCCTAGGAGGTTGTAACCTGGGTAAGAGAAAGCACAATTTCATGGAGGCGCTTGTGGGGCTTTGGGACTTTCCGTCCACAACGAGAAACAATTTCCCCATCCTTCAAGGGGCTCTGGGTTCGCCTGCAGGTGGGCTGCACCGCTCTAACCAAGTGGTCCATGGGAGCACAGCAACGTTCTTTTTTATACAACCAAATGCAGTGTGAAATGATGCTAACAAATTTATTCTCGGGGCTCGAACAAAGAATTAACCACTGGGAGACATCAGTGCTGCTCAGATAATGGATTTATTGAACTAAATGCAGTGTGAAATGATGCTAACAAATTTATTCTCGGGGCTCGAACAAGGAATTAACCACTGGGAGACATCATTGCTGCTCAGATAATGGATTTATTGAATTTAACATTCACTCTGCCCTGGTATATAACAGGTGTTCTTCTAAGTGCTTATCAATGAGTTAATGAGAAAGAATACACGCGATTGGTATGGAGCTTACATTGTAGCATGGAAAAGAAGGGACCTGAGGAACCACTCGCTTTTATAAACTTGAATAAGTAGGTGGAGATGAACAATGGTATCAACAAATGAAAATTGCACAGAAAGCATAAGGAACACTGATACTTGAAGGGTAGACAACCTATAAGTTTAAAACCTGCCTATTACCCTGCTTGGCCTGCTACTCCCCCACTTTTTCTTCAAAGTTCCACAAAAAAAATTATCACTTGCAATTATGCATAGAGAATAAACTGCCAACATGTTAATATCAGAATCTTACTGAAGGGTATTACATCAATTGATTCAAGCACCAACTAGTTACAAATAGACTTAAATAGAAGTGATCAAGGTAAATTAAACTACACGAGTGAAAAAACACAATGTTCAATAGCAAAAAGCTTGAAAACAATACTGTGGCAAACATGTATTAGTGCACAGGTTAGTTTTGATAAACTAATGGTTACTTGTCACAGAAACTACCAAGATTTCATGTCGAAAGTATTTTCCCATACATTAGAGTCTGGAAAGAACATGCCTTTCGCAAAATGTCATTTAGTGCCTTTTTGCTACCCCTCAAAATACAGAAATAGGTGTTTGAATATTGGCTAGCCATTTACGAAAGCCCTTAGATACAGATATTCATAAATATTACATGAATTACTGTGAAGGTACCTGGAAAAACACTACAAACATTGATGGAAAAAATGTTGGTTTAGAGGGGATACGGACTAAAGGAGTTTCAGTTTACATATTCATGTCCTTCTGAAAGGAAAACGAGGGAAAACCTTACTGCTATTCTGCTGAACCCCACGCAACTCAAAACCCTGTGCAAAGGAACAAGAATCCAGTGCAGCTATCAAAGGACTGAAACTACAGACCAACACGAACCCAATCAATACGATAAGTCAAAAGTAATAGCAAGCTTCTTTAATACACCCGCACTCCTTTGGAAGCCTCCTTAGAACAAATAGAAATTTAATTATGAAGTGACCCGAGCTACAGTCTGAGCTTTGTAGAGACTGTCAGACATCCCGGGAAGCAGGGAAGTCCTGCTCTGTTACTCCTCAAAGAAATCTGACAGGCTTGGTGGTATTGGTTTTCCTCCCAGTGGCGCTAGGAGTTCTACATATCAAGTAATGCAGTAACTGATAGGAGTACTAAGCAAAAGAGGCCAAAGGGCCCTGCTACCTCTTAAATTTTCCAACACTACACATTATTTTAGAGCCTTAACAGGTCCCTGCCAGCATAGAATCTTCTCTGGGCAGAAAAAGAAGGAATTTAGCTAAATGGCAGTATTATTACCACCATTATTGGTATTATTTTACAATCAAGAGCCAGTTTTAGCATGTTTTGGAGTTAATAATGCACTTCCCTAAAGGTGGCTCATTCTCCCAAGGAAACGACCCAGTATGCTGACAAGAAAATTTGTATTTAACATATTGTTTAAACTCACTAAGCAGAGCTTTTCCACCGAACCAGGCCCTTTACTACCCATAGAAGTAAGGGCGAAGGCAAAACGAAAGGTTTGGTAATTAAAAACCATGAGCGTGGGTCATAGACACTGCCCTCCACAAACAGCGGGACTGAGTACTCTCCACTACAACCACGTTGACGACATCATCCTTTCGAGGCACATAACCAGCAGGGAGTTTCAGTGAATCCAAGGTGAAAAAGATTTTGTTGTCTATCACCCCATGCCTTCCGTGGACACTGGTAATGCTGACCTGTGAGGAGAAATGATGGAGATGAGTGGCGGGAAGCACAGTATATGGAAGGCACCTCTGCACCCCTCACTCTGGCTGCAACCCGCAGGCCACCCCCCCCACCCCAACACTGGTTCCCAGCCTGCCAGGGGCAATGGCAACACCCGGGGTCCCTGCAAACATGCCTGTCCCCAGATCACACTTCACCCCGGTGCCACCAGCCCCCTGCCTCCGGTGAGAAACTTTTCTCTCAATTTGACCCCCCACGGCCATTCACTGTATATGCTCCTCCCTTCCAGGCTGCACTACCCAAGGCCTTACCCACATTTTACTTGGATGCGCACAGCCCACAACCCACTTCCCCATTCTTTCCTCACAGCATTCTGGCAGGCAAATTGTTCTCCTAACTGTTCATCTCAGCACATCCTCATACCCAGTTAACTACACAACCTGGAAATCAATTCTATGCATGTTCTGCATTATTGTACACTTATTCCCTTTTGGAGGTCCTTCCTTTTCAATCACAAAATACGCCCCTCTTGGCAAAAACGTATCTTCTTATTTGCCAGTCACATCCAGTACGATCTCAGACAACAAAGTCGGCATTAAAGGAACAATAGACAGAAAGTGATGTCAAGTGCAACATGGAAACAAATTACCTTATCCATGTGCCTGCAGTTCATGGGCATCACTGAGTGTGCCTTGATGTGCGTCGTTCCCGGCTCCGTGGAATACACAACCTCCAACCAGTCACCCTTGCAAGGCACAAAGCCTAAACAACCATGGAGAAGAGTGAGTGCCATTATCTCACCCCTGAGGTCACGTGTAATACCACAGCTTCCCCGATGCTGTCATACCCCAACATACCTGGTATCGCGTGCAAAGCTCATTTTGTACGTGGTTAAGACAGACACTTTATAAATGCTTGTACCAGAGCGAAGTTTACAATTCTTTAACCCTTAAGTCACCTCTACTATGCCAGCTTCTCTGGCCCAGCACAGGATTCGTTAATCACCTGGTCCCATTCACAACACCTTTGGCAGGGGCGGTGTAGTACACAGGTGAGAGCATAAGGCTGGGCCTGGCTGCTACCAACACAGGAATACACACACACACACACACACACACACACACACACACAACTGC